TTATTATTATTATTATTAAAACAGAAATTATAATAAGAAAATGATAGGAAAAAAGCAAGAAAGAGAAAAATGTCCATAGAAGCAACCATATTAATCTTTTTTTCTGACCATTCCTAGCAATGAGATTTGACCATATCCCTTTTTTCATTTCACTGTGCACGTTACTATTGGCTAGTGGGACTGGAAATCTGAATAATGGACCAATACTAAGGTGTGAGACAAGAAGGAGTAGAGCAAAGCCACTGACCACAGAATCTGATTACCATTTGAATATATAGCAAAATAATCCAGGGCATCCGGGGTACCAGGGTGCAATACAGGGGATCACAGGTGTTGTGCCAGTACCTCTTGGTGCCTGCTATCCAGTGTAAGAAGGGATTTTGTTTGACACAGGTTTGCTTTAAGAAACATGTGAATCATATCAGATGCCTCTAGTATCCAATTATTGATGACATGAGATGAATATAAGATATACAACGCAGGTCTATAGTTCACATGTGTACAGATATGCAGGTATCATTTAACATGTGTGTAGAAAAGACAGTAAGACATCTGGAACACAGCTGTTTACAGAAAAGTATGGGTGGACTTCAAAAACTGGAGAATCTTAAATCGTTTATTTTTTAGAACAGACATTGGGTAATGATTTAAAAATGTGTTTTCTGCATATAATTGATGTCTCTTTATGTACTGACTTTTACTAAATTATACAAAATTGACCGTGTATAACGGTCTATCCTGCCTTTCCATTTATACATTTTACCCTGTGTGTATATGTGAATGTGGAAAGGGCTGAAACAACTGGGGAGATAGAGCAGAATTTAAAGGGAAATTTTGGAACTTTGACCAAGATGAATACATGCAATTTTGTCGGATTCAGATGACATTTAATGTAGGCTAGTGAGATCATACCACTCCAATAACATCATTTAAGCTCATGTCAATCATCTGAAAATAGTTAAAACAATTTTGTTCTTTACAAAATACCCATAAATGCTAGTTCCCTCACAGTCCGTGGCTGCAATAGTTCCTATATCATTGACTTGCAACATCTATGCAGATCTGGTAAGTCAGGACTCTGGTCTACATACTTGATCCAAGTCTGTGTCTCAGAAAGTACAGAAGTCACTGGATCATCATGACAGCAAGAACTAGTGTTTTCAGAAGAAGAGGTCAGTACAGGTGTCCTTTAAGTGCCTTACAATATCTGAAGAATGTTGGGTAAAGAGTTATTTCCCTGCTGAAATGCAAGTTGGGCACTGCCTGGTGGGTGTAGGCAGTGGAGTGGTGGGGTCATACTGATACTGTGCCCTGGCGTATGCAGGGTAAGGCACATATGACATGCCTTTTTATCTCCCCCCACCCCTCTACCATACACATTTTCCTGCCCAGCTCTTAGCAACCAGGGATGCTCTGGCTGGCGTCCTGCCCAGCTCCTAGAAACCAGTGATGTCACTGGTTGCCAGAAGCTGGGCGGGACACTGGCTAGAGCGCCTCAGGATGCTAAGATATGTGTATGGCCCTTACGCCACCCAGCTCTTAGTAACTTGGGAAGCTCTGGCCAGTGTCCTGCCCAGTGAGGTCATTGGTTGCCAGGAGCTGTGTGGGATGCCAGGGAAGTAAGATAAGGAAGGCTGCATTAACTTCCAGACAAGTTTGGCTTGCGGTAGATTGATCTTTGAAGAGGCCGAGAGGCTTTGAAGAGGTGATTTTTTCCAGTTCCTTAGGGAACACAGTTGATTATATTCTCTTAAGGTTTCCATTCCCGTGTTTCTTCTTAATAAATTACAATGTATGGTTGTTATTAGAATCCCGTTATATATAGCATTTAGGGCTGTTACTGATTAAAATTTTCGTGTTCAATTAATCAATTTTTTTAAATCGATTAATCGATTAATTTTGATTAATTATAACGCACATACAGATCCAACTACATTGGCCTATACACATACAGCACAGCAATGAAGTAATAAAATGAACTAGGATCACACTAATCCAGCACGTTATTAATCTCACGTGCCCCACTCAATATGGCCGCCGCTTGAGTGGGGCAACTCAGAATAATAACGTGCTGGATTAGTGTGATCCTAGTTCATTTTATTACTTCATTGCTGTGCTGTATGTGTATAGGCCAATGCCTTGGCTGGCGCTCGTGCAGAAAGTTTCAAAAAAAATGTAATCGATCAAAAAGATTAACGATTAATCAAGAAATTCATCGTTAATTTGCACAGCCCTAATAGCATTGAATGCCTTCAATAAAGCAGAACAATTATCTATCTGTGGTGCTGTGTGTTAATTACCACCTACACTACATTAAAAGGTATGGGCAAATTGACCTGTACTTGTTGGACTGCAGTGCACATAACACTATTGTTAACCCTTAGCAATCTTTTGAGAGTAGTTTCTTATTTCGTGCAAATAAGCACTTTTGTTTGTTTATTATTATTATTATTTGGAATTTGTTTTTATCACTTTAAAGTGTATATCTGTATCTCTTTTTTTTTTTTTTTTAGATAGCATGTGGAAGACCCTTTGTCAAATTTATATTGTTTCTGACAACCCATTGGGGAGATTCACCCCTCTTTTTGTCCTGGAGACCACTGTCACAGAGACAGAAAGTAAGGGGAAATCTACAATTTTCAGGTTGTCACCACAGGAAGGGGTGAGGGTAAATCATCCAATGGGAACAAATGTCCTAGTCATAACCATCTAAAATGTAAATTCTCTTTATTTTGGGTAGATGTCCTCTCATTTCCTATTGCTTCCCAGAGGCAGGAAGTGAATGTAAATCTCTCCAGTTGAACTCAGACAGCAAAAAATAACTTAAAAGTAGTTTTATCACTTCTCTACTTTATCCAAAACTAACAAAATTGGTTTACCTTTTTTGTTGCCTCTTTTACTTTAAGATCAATTTATTAGTATCTGTTAATGTTATGTCAGCAGCACATACCTGTGCTGAAGAGGCTTGTAGTTCTCAGCACCTAAAACTGGGTACACACAGAGCAAATTTGCTGAATCATCTGAAATTCGATGCGTTGGTGACCCTATCCCCTCGACAGAAATCGATCATTAGATCAACTTTTGCCGAAAGAACATGTTGGAAAATCCTCAGCCATATGGAGTTCATCTTTAACAAGCAAGTACACAAAGTTTTTATTACATGTTAACATAACTACATTTATTATGTACAGCTACAAATCATTTAAATTATGCTACAAGTCAGATGAATTGAAAACACATGCACTGTGGCTGCCTTTCAATGCAAAAGTCAAAGGGCAAACTTGGAGGTTAGCAGATGTTTATTGTTTTGCAGTGTACCAAGCAGATGGAAATATTAAGGGGTAAAAGTGCATTCATATCACACTTACCCTTTCCTCCCCTCCACCTGCATTTTTGTAATAGTACTTCTTTACCTGTGATCAAACTCTTCTGCGATCTTTATTGTTTGAGAAGGAGACATGCTGGCCATCTAGGTAGATATTGCAGGCCACACAGCAACAATTTCAGATGAGCATCGCTACAGGTAATTAATTGCTGTTACAAAGAGAGGGTCTGCTAAAGGTACATATGCTGTGAGTGAGAGTCAATATTTGTGCCTCATTATGATTATAAATAGGGATGCACCGATACCACTTTTTTAAGGCCGAGTACGAGTACCGATACTTTTTTCCAAGTACTCGCCGATACCAATTACCAATACTTTTTCTTAAAGGGACAGGTCACATGTTTTCTAAAGCAATACAAAACCATGATTTTAGGTCAGTTTCTTAATATTATGAAGAACATGAACACTCTGTAGTGTGGCACAGCTGTATCCAATTCTGCATACCTGGCTTTATATTATAAGAACTTTATAATATAAAGCCAGGTATGCAGAATTGGATACAGCTGTTCCACACTATACAATAATACACTGTTCTGGAGTCTGGACATGTGATAATCTATTTTCCACACAATCGGGGGATACAAGCCTTAGTTAGCAATGGCATGATAAATATTAATTTCATTATTCAATGTCTTTTTTTATATTATAACATTTATAATACTAAAAAAAAGACATTGAATAATGAAATGAATATTTATCATGCCATTGCTAACTAAGGCTTGTATCCCCCTAGTGGTCAAAATAGATGAGCACATGTCCAGACTGCAGACCAGAACACAGTGTGGCACAGCTACAGCCAATTCTGTATAACTGGCTTTATATTATTATTACATTTTCTTATAATATAAAGCCAGGTATGCAGAATTGGATATAGTTGTGCCACCCTGTGTTCTGGTCTGCAGTCTGGACATGTGCTCATCTATTTTCACCACTAGGGGGATACAAGCCTTAGTTAGCAATATCTACATAGTTATTTTCTTTTTTTTAAATAATATATGCCGGTAAACAGCATTTTTGTGCCCAGCCCCATGAGGTGTGTCAGTACTAACCTGCTGTGTCGTCTTCTCCGTCTGCTTCAGCCACTCCGTGTCACAGCCTAGTCATCTGCTCCATTCTGACCTCTTCTCCCGCTGATTGGCCGATTGGATGATGACAGGCTTCCTCACCAGTCACTCCTGACTGGTGAGGAAGCCTGTCAATCATCCAATCGGCCAATCAGCGGGAGAAGAGGTCAGAATGGAGCAGATGACAGAGGAGGTCGCGGCCATCTTGCTTCATTGAAGACGCGATGGAGGTCCTGTGTGCGGCGGATCCGGGTCCCTGAAGATGGCGGACGCGGCACAGGTACTCGTTTTATGTTTTGGAGTATTTGCACGAGTACTCATGCAAATACTCGGTATCGCCGCCGATACCGATGCTTGTATCGGTATCGGTGCATCCCTAATTATAAATATACAAGACCTGGGAAATTATGCCTTGATAATTTTGAATTAATTGGTATGCAGGCTCTTTCTCATGAGCTAATGTTACATGGAAAGATTTGTTCTAGTTTCAGCTTCTTGAGTGCTTTTCTGTTGTGTTCTAATATACTTATTTTAAAGCTATAAACACTTACCGCTGTAGTATCTGTACCAAATCTGTACACAGTCCTCATCTTCTGGACTACTGTTTGTGGCATCATCTGGCTGATTTCCGTCCCAGTAATTGTAGTCATATGCTGTTCCGTCTGTCCACTCAAAGTCTCCTTCCTGTCAGTGAGAAAAAAAAGTCAGCCTTTAAAGGGAATATATAGTGCTTTATAAATAAACATAAAAAATAAACATTTAAAAACTATTTCTCACTGCTAGTAGTTTTTCATAGATTAGTCAGGCAGTATGAAATAGGGAAGATGGATATTTCATGTTTATTTTTTCCAGGCAGGCGTTAGAAGCTCTAGGGTCTAATTAACATGTTTCTTGAAATTCATGGAGACACAGGATTTAATTATTCTGATATCACTGAGTTTTACTACCCCTACAGGCCTATGTTGACACCGGCAAACAAAAAAATGGACCTGTGTTCCCTAATGAACTTCAAGAAACAGTTTTTACGATAAGTACAAAAATCCTGCATTTTTATTGTTCATTAAAGGACACAGAAGTTAGTTATTCTGATACTATTTGCATGTCCAAAAGCATTTCAACTGAGGGGTAGGCAACATAGCAAACAAAACAACAAGAGGCACACATAAAAAAACAAAATAAGATTGTGGGCAAGCGGCAGCTTGAAGAGCTGCCTAATAGACTTTACATCTGAAGATGGAATGAGATGAGGTCTGAAAATCTACATGCTAAAACTCAGAGAACGTGTGAACAGAAGACCAGGTGGCAGCCTTGCAAATCTGGGAAACAGTTGCCTGATACCTGAAAGCCTATGAAGCCCTCACAGTTTAGAAGAGTGCACCTTGACAAGAAATATAGTACCTTGTTCTTAATACCATAAGCTTAAACAATGATCTGTTTGAGGCACTGAGAAAAGAAGGAGCATGAAGCCGGTTTACCTTTACAGGAACCATCAGCAATGATAAAAAAGAGTCTGTCATTCAAGTGGAATGGCTGAGAGGTAAAACCATACAGCAGCAACATGCAGACAATGAAGCGATATCTCATTCTGATGTACAGGAGACAGACAAAGAGTTGGAAGAAAAATGTCCGGGTTGAAATGAAAGGCCAGAATTTCCTGACGTAAATACTACCTTATCCTTGAGTAAAACCAAAAAGGGTTTTTTGCAGAGGAAATGGCAACAAGGAACGCAAGCTTGTGAGTAAGAGTGAAAAGGAGAGTGAAAAGGTTCAAAGGGTTTTCTTTGTAGGGGCAACAGAAGCAAATTTAGACCCCACAGAGTCACAGGAGGTTGTAAAGGAGGAGCCAGACGAGAGACACCTGCATAGAGCTGCAGGAATGTCAGCCAAAGATTCTAGAGATGACAGTGTGAAACTATAGTTAAAGCCTCTTTGTTCTGGATTACCAAACAAAATTGCAAGTTGGCCCAAATAATCTAGCAGTGCTGCAAAGTATTCCTCTCTAGATTAGGTGGGGGGCACACCTGACAGAGCTATAAGAGATTGAGATGACTTAAGCAAGGGACAATGATCAACACCATGGGTGTCAGATCATGTAGGAGCGACACTACAGTCTGTCCCAGAACTGTTAGTGGGCAACTTGATGCTTCTGGGCTGCTTCCCTTGTGCTTGGGATTAGATGTGCTTATTTTTAACAGATGCAAATTAATAAACCACAGTAGGTAAAACTTTGGTTTACTCGCAACCAACTTCTTAAGTGGGAAAGGCTTAAAGGGTGAAGGACACTTGGTCATTGTAGGTCTCAGCAAGAACGAACAGAGGTTTGAACCACATGTCTCTTGCACATAGGAGCAATGGTGGGAAGAAACTACCTCGCATTAAAGAAAAAAAGATGGGAGCATAGTGGGGAAGGCACATGCACACAACACTCAAGCTAACTACGCAACTTTTAATTCCTTATTAATACGCATGGACCCTTTCTGCAAAAACCATCATAATAGAGATAATAATAGAGATGTAATAGTTGTGTATAACATTACAAAATAGTGTATTAGCTTCTGATGGTCAGGCCAAATGCAGTACTTATTAAAAGTCTTCAGAGACTGGGTTACACCAGCAGCTGTAATGCAGCTCTGGATCTGGAGAGCAGGCTAACTAACACAGTACACAAGGGTCTGGAAATTGCCACTGGCAGAGCACAGGGCCCAAAGCTCCCATTGCTGGTAAACCCCACAATTTTAGGGCCAGTGGGTTCTGGCTCCAGCCTCCAAGGTATCACCCAGGACTAGCCAATCTGGATAGTTGCATGGAGAGCCCAGCTGAGCAGCATGTAGATGATGTCTTTATAGAAAGAGAGATATCTTGAGGAAAAAATAAAATAAAGCGGCAAATAAAAAATATGTTCCAGTGAGGGTGAAAATCATGACAAATTTGGTCATCCCATATGTAGCTGGGGTGTCTGAGAAACTCAGAAGGGTTTTTAAAAAACATCACATCCCTGTCTGCTTTAAACCCAGCAATACACTGAGGCAACAACTGGTTCACCCAAAAGACCCAACACCAAAACACAAGATGAACAACATTGTGTATGCTGTCCAGTGCAGTGAGGAGTGCTCAGAATTGTATGTCGGTGAAATAAAACAGCAGCTACACCAGTGTATGGCACAGCATGGAAGAGCCAAACCCTCTGGTCAGGATTCAGCAGTGTACGTACATCTAAAGGAAAAAGGTCACTCCTTTGAAGACAGTCAAGAGCGCATCCTAGACAGGCAGGAGGGCTGATTTACAACACCTCCTAGCTCCAATTATGCAAATACATTCAACACCTGGTTGTGATTAACAGGTTATGTGGATTGGAGCGAAATTCACCATATTCCCAGATAACTTTTGTACAAGTCATTCTGAATTGAGGAAGCTGGTCGGATGGCCAGTGACACGTCTTCAAGAAAAATACAGCAAGTCCAGTTGCCTTGGCTTATTTTTTACAGATATACCATGACCTGGATAAATGAGAACCTTCACAAGCTAATAAAAAAGACATAAACTTTTCTCAACTGAGAAAAGATGTCCATTCCCTGAGAAAACTACCACAATCTGAAGCAATCTGGGAGTATGAAGAGTTATTCACTTCAAAGAGACAGACTGAAAGAAAAAAAGGCTACTGATGTGCTCTCTCTTCAAAAAGCCCATACAATTCTTCAAAACAATTATGAATGTAATAAACATGATATATACATGTTATGGATAGATTTCCCTAAACCAGGTGTAATAGACAGCTACCAATTATGAGAAGTAAGAAAAAGGTAATAATACCCCTAAGGGCCTGTTCACACCTATGCATTGTGGTAGCAATGTTTAGTTTAATGTGAAGCAATTCAATTTCAATTGTACCTTAAGTCACTGTAGGAGTGTACTTGTGTTGTAGTGCCCTGCAATGCACAGTAATGCACTACCATGCAATGCGGTGTGCTGCTTTAGAGAAAATGGTGCATATATATTATTTTCTATAGGGGATAGCTTCTCACCTGTCTTCTGTCACTTAATCCTATCCAGATATCTGTAGGTATTCCAGGAACTTGGCTGTTCACAAGATCAAACACAAAAATATTTTCATCCCAGCTGAGGAGGAAAAAAAGGAGGTATACCCCTAGTTAATCTATGTAGTTCCCACATATATCTTTTCTTTACATACAATATGTATACAATGTATTTTTTCTAAAGTATGGCATCTTTTTGAAACTTTTATTCAACCCTTTAGTGAATGGGTAGGGGTACTCTTACTCATTCACAAGAAGGGCGCATCTGGGTGCCCCTATATTAAATTGGTATCCCGATGTGAATAGTTCCCCTGCCCGCACCCCCACAATCAACGCCCCAAGGCTTGTGGGGAAGAGGCCCTTGTCCTCATTGGCATGGGGACAAGGTGCTTTTCAAGGGGTGGCCTTGGAAAAGCACCCTCCCAGTGCCGAGAACATGTGGCCTGATATGGCAGGGGGGGGGGGGGTGCTTGCTTGTCCTCCCCCTTTCCAGCCCTGCCAGACCTGTGCTCGGATCAAGGGTCTGGTTTGGAATTTTAGGGGGACCCCATGTCTTTTTTCCCCATTTTTGGGGGTGGGGTCCCTTCTTAAAATTCCTACCAGACCTTAAGGGCCTGGTATGACTTTGGGGGGGAACCCCACACAATTTTTTTTTTAATTTTAACTTGGGGTCCCTCCTAAAATTCCTACCAGACCTAAAGGGTCTGGTATGGTTTTAGAGGGGGACCCCATGCTGTTTTTTTTTTCTTTTAATTTCTTTTTATTATTTTCTATTTTTTTTACATTTATTTAAATAATTTTTGAACTTTTTTTTTCCCATTTATTTACGTGGATGGCTTGGACCAATGGCAAAGCGCCATTGGTCCAAGCTGTCCAATCAAAAAAAAGAAAGAAAAAAAACACTGAGGCCATCCATCTCGATGCCTCAGCAGTGGTGAGCAAGTGAGGGACAGGGAGGCTCCTCCCTTCCTCCTCCCCACACAGCTTGGTTACCGAGCTGGGGGCAGGGCTTCGGTGGGATGGAGGGGGAGCTTTGTGAGGACGGGGGTGGAGCTTCGACAGGATGGAGCAAAGCTTCGGTGGGCTGGGGGATGCCTCACCCAGCAAAGAAGGCATAGCACGTCACTGGTTTGGCCACTGTGAGAATAGGGGCGAACAGCAGCGATTGAGCTGCTGGAGCTTCGGCTCAGCCGATCCAGATATTGGATCGGCTGAGTCGAAGTCCTTCTGCACTTCGACTCAGCCGAACATGCAGAGCATTTTCGGCTGACGAAAGGCAGCCGAAATACGGCTGATTTTAGCCGATGTACGGCTGAAATTAGCCGTACAAGCCAGATGTGATTAGCCGAACAGTGTTCGGTTCACTTCACTTCAGCTGGGTTATTCACTTGGCTGCCTTCAGCAGCTGTTTGTGAATAACCCAGTATGTGATTTAGTATTCCTGCGCCAGAAACCTGCAGAGCCGGGGGTCAGGAATCCCAGATTTCCCATTTAAGGTGGCCATACACTTTACAACCATCGCAAGACCTTAGTCTTGCGATGGTTGTAAAGTACTTAAAAAAACGTACGATCTGCCCATCTTGGACAGGCAGATCGTACTTGCGATCATCGCAAGCCTGCCCCCTTTAGGGGCGGGCTTGCGATGACTGCAATGAGGGGCGGGCTTACAAGCACGGCAAACGGGCAGTGTGAGCGTGCGCACACCGGCCCGTTCGTCAGTTGTCGAACAAGCAGGCCACTCACTCGCCGAGAATCATACGATTCCCGGCGGGTTTTCCAGCCTGCTTGTTCGATGGAAGACGTGCGACCGTACAGTAGAAACGGTCGCACGCCTTCCATACACTGTACGATTCTCCTACGATCGCGGGATTTCCCGCGATTCTCGTACGAGAATCGCACAGTGTATGGGCACCTTTAGATGCAGCTGCTGTTACCTATTCAAATTAATGAGTGGGTGACATTGGCCACATCTGTAAGTGGCAGTTCACATGTTATGCAGTTTGGAATAGATCACAGTTGCTGGATGCATGATAGATGTATTCCAAACCGCATGTCATTATATCACATACGATTGTGGACTGCCGCTTGCAGATGTAGCCGCCTTCACCTGTTTATTCACTTGAACCGGTAACAGTGGCCTCATCTAAATGGTAGATGTGGGACTACTGCTGCAGGAATCCCAAATTGCATAGAGGGAATGGGGCCTTATTGGCTTAATTACAAAGATATATTAAAGTATCACTGTACTAGGGCAGGTCCAGGATGACCTGGAATCAGAGGAAGTGGGCTGATTGATGCTGGCCATCAGACTGAGAATATCTAGTGGCAGAAAAAAGTGCTGTGGGAGAAATCTCTGGATTGAAGGTTAATATTGCCGCAAAATCTGGTTTTGTCATTAAATATTTGAAAGGGCTTTAATTTTCTTTTTGTTATTTGTGACTGAAGTTTTGTTTTGATGAAGATGATTTGTTTTAAAGAGTGGAACATTTTGCCGTCGGGCCATGAATCTCCCGATGAATGATCACCACCACTGCTGGTTATTGTCCAATCAAAAAAAGAAAGAAAAAAACACTGAGGCCATCCATCTCGATGCCTCAGCAGTGACAAGCAAGTGAGGGACAGGTTTGTATTCCACAAATACTGCTGTACCTGCTTTACTTTACACTTGCCCAGTCTCTCTATTTTTTTTTTTCTTAATTGTTGGCTTTCCTAACTGCACACTGAAGTATTCTAGCACTACCTCACAATGGCTTTAAAGAAAGTCTTCCCCAACCTACTAAACAAATGTTGTTATTGTTGTCAAGGTACCCTATGCGGACAATCTATACAAAACGTTTTAATGTGGTAACCAGTCATTTAAATAACAGTCAAGTCCAGAATAAGAAAATGCACAAACCATGACAAATATTAACACCACAAACCACATTGTAGAGGTCAAATCAGTTTGATTACCGTTAGCGTGATTTTTTTCTATCTGTGTACAGTAAAAGCAATGCTACATTTATTACATATGTGGGATGTATGCAAATAAAATGGTTAAAATAGAGAGAGTTGTTTCTTACTTACTGAAGTTTTTGCAACTCAATGTTCAGAAGGTAGACATGAAAAGTATTAGTTATGAGAAGCATTAAAGTTGCCTCATGTTTTGGCTCCTGTGGAGAAGTCGCTATACCATACCTGTGGATAGAAACTAATTTGGCAGTTGTCCGGCCAAGTGAAAACTCAGCACAGTAAAAGTCTGCTTCTGCCCATGTTTTATTCATTGGGAAAAACCTGTAGCAGTTCCCGTTGTATTCTGTCCAAAACAGAGGGCAGGCGAATGGCTGGCTCACATCAGTAAACGCTAAGAAAGAAAAGAATAATACAGTGTTTATTTAACTTGAGGCAGAAATTTACATGATGAAACCTTATTTCATTACTAAGTACATGTAATATTTATACAAGTGCATGCACTTTGTATACCATTTGGCTTAGTAAGGGAGCAGTAGCATAAGTGAGATCCCAGCAGCCTACCTGTGAATTGCGGCAAATCTTCTCCTTCCTGTGGATCCACGCCGCCCACAGCCACCGAGACAGACCAGGACCCCCAGTAAGACCACACAGCCCTCCTAGGACCCCGCACAGCCCAGCAAAAATGTAAATAAAACTGCCTAGAAAACATAGGTCCAGAATCCAGATCGTTTCCACAAAGACTACTCACTAAGAATTTTCAAGCAAGTCCGTATAAGCAAATAAGCCTTTTTGATAGTAGGGAACCAGACATCTGTATTGTAAATAAGTTCTCGTATCATGGACCTACCTAATCTGGACTTTTGTTTCATTTTACTTTAGATATTTTTTGCATATTCACTTTCACCAACATTTTATTTAATTGTAATATTAATCCAACAACATTATAAGGGATCATCTATATCAGGGACGTGCGGTTAGGGGAGGCAGGTGAGGCAGAGCCTCACCTAGAATTATGGAGGAAAAAGCTGTCAGCTTCATGTCTGAAGCTGACAGCTTTTTCTCCATTCAGATGGGCATCTAACAGGTTATACAGCAGGGAAATCTTCCCCGCTGTGTAACCTGTCATGGACGGGCCTCAGCAGTGAGGAGCAAGTGAGGGACAGGGAGGCGCCTCCACGTCTCCTCCCTTCCTCCTTTACAGTAGATTGGGGACAGGTTGAGGCGGGGCTTCAGACTATAGAGGGTGGGGCTTTGGTCAGCAGGGGTGGGGCTTCAGTCTGCAGGGGCAGTGCTGGGGAATGCCTCACCCGCAGGAGGGAGTTACCGTACGTCACTGATCTATATATAATCTCCAGCAGGACATCTTCCTGCTTGTTTTGAGTTGCTTCTACAGCACAAAAGATTAATTGTGGTCACTGTAGATCACCAGTTTGCCATTAAAAGCATGGCATAATGCCTACCTAGACTAAAAACAGTACTGAGCAGGTAGGCTCTGTTCCTTGTATGTATGGCAATGTTTAATTTGCAATTTTGATTGGTATGTAGCTTCCTGATTCACACCTACGCGATAGTATTTTCGCGCTTTTGCTGCTGCGCGTGTATTTGTGCGATTGTGTGCATACATTAAGTTGCACGTTTTTATGCGCAGATTGTGACATTCATGTCAATGGCAAAAATTTGCAAAACCAATTGCAACACGCATTTCCAAGCGTTTTCTATTGACTCTGTGGGGACAAAATGAGCTGTAATCTGCCAAAAAAAAGCTCATGTACTTTTTCCAACGACAGGCGTTTTGCGACAACACACTCAGGTGTGAACAGGTGCCATAAGAAAGAATTGGATTTTTGGGGGGAAGCTTTTTGTCGCGGTGAATCAGCTGCGACAATAGCCTCTGTGTGAACCAGGCCTCAGTGCACATTCAGAGAAAGTTGGTCTCCATGCAGCAATACTTAGTAATAATAGTACTAATAATAAGAAAAGCATTTGTCTGCATGCAGTCTCCGCTGTATTAAAAACACTATATATTGCTAATCCAGACAGGAACACAGTAAACGACTGATTTTGGAAGTTAGCTGTAAACAAGGACTTGTATCCATAACAAACCATTCAATAAATTGCTGTTTGGAATGAAAGAAAGTATACTTTATGATAGCCTACTCTATGATAGCACACACATTTGTATTACATTGATTTTTATGAAAAAAGTGATAAATTATAATGCATAGTTTGTCATATGATTTTTTTATTCCTGTATCAACAAACACTATATTGCCAAAAGTATTGGGACACCTTTCCAAATCATTGGATGCAGGTGTTCCAATCACCTCCATGGCCACAGATGTATCAAATCAAGCACCTAGGCTTCCAGACTGTTTCTACAAAAATTTGTGAAGAATGGGTCACTCTCAGGAGCTCAGTAAATTCAAGCGTGGTACCGTGATAGGTTGCCACCTGTGCAAAATGCATCCGTGAATTTTCCTTGCTACTAAATATTCCACGGTCAACTGTTAGTGGTATTAAAACAAAGTGGAAGCAACGGGGCACGACAGCAACTCAGCCACGAAGTGGTAGGCCACGTAAAATGACAGAGCGGGGTCAGCTCATGCTGAAGTCGCCAACTGTTTGCAAAGTCAATAGCTACAGACCTTCAAACTTCGTGTGGCCTCCAGATTGGCACAACAACAGTGCGTAGAGAGCTTCATGGCCGAGCAGCTGCATCCAAGCCTTAGATCACCAAGTGCAATGCAAAGCATCGGATGCAGTGGGGTAAAGCATGCCGCCACCGGACCACTGCAGTGGGGTAAAGCATGCCGCCACTGGTAAAGTTTGGTGGAGGGGGGATTATGGTGTGGGGTTGTTTTTCAGGGGTGGGGCTTGGCCCCTTAGTTCCAGTGAAGGGAACTCTTAAGGCATCAGCATACCAAGACATTTTGGACAATTTCATACTCCCAACTTTGTGGGAACAGTTTGGAGATAGCCCCTTCCTGTTCCAGCATAACTGTGCACCAGTACACAAAGCAAGGTCCATAAAGACATGGATGAGCGAGTTTGGGGTGGAGGAACTTGACTGACCTGAACAGAGTCCTGGACTCAACCCGATAGAACACCTTTGGGATGATTTAGAGCGGAGACTACAATCCAGGCCTTCTCGTTCAACATCAGTACCTGACCTCACAAATGCGCTTCTGGAAGAATGGTCAAACATTCCCATAGACACACTCCTAAACCTTGTGGACACCTTCCCAGAAGAGTTGAAGCTGTTATAGCTGCAAAGGGTGGGCCAACTCAATAATGAACCCTATGGACTAAGACTGGGATGCCATTAAAGTTCATGTGCGTGTAAAGGCAGGCGTCCCAATACTTTTGGCAATATAGTGTGTATTTTGATGGGGTTTGTTCATAAATACTTTCATTCAAGAACTGCAGAACTTTCACACAGAATTCACACATGTTCCAAACTGAATCCAGTGGTAAAAACATTTATAAATATGGAATTGATATACTAAAAGCAAATAGGCTATTTATTTGCAGGGGAATTTTCCCTTAGTTCAGTGAGGTGAAGCTCTGCTGACATCATCATCCAATCACATGCAAGAAAAAAAATGTTGTTTTTTTTCTTTGCATATGATTGGGTATTCTTTTAAAGTGAATTCTTACCACATTCACCAAGCTATGGGAAAATTACCTTGCAAAGTGAAAATGTACCTGCAAGGTGAACAGCCTTTTTGTCTTTAGTAAATTTCAGGTTAAACCGACCACAGTTCACTTTCACCACATGTTAATCTATGGTGGTTGTATGTTATAATATGTAAATTAATATTATTGGACAAAATAGTTGTAAATTGCATGAGGCTCAATTCACTAAGCAATAACCTGTGTGTTTTGTCATAATGTTTGTTATTTCTAGCTGTGTGGCTTAAATGTTTTCTGTTCCCATTGGCTCTTATTGTTAAAACTATTGGCCCTTAATGCAAAAAATAATTATTGTTGCTTGTGAATTGAGCCTATTGTGATGTGTTCTTGTAGATGTTTTGCAGGCATAATGGATATTGAGATAGTCTTCTGTGTTTATTACATTTCTTTTTATACATATCTGGTAGATAAATACATTACAGATCAAGTAAACATATGCCCGCATAAGCCTTTCTGCATGCAGTTCAGGTGGCTTCCAGGTTAGCAAACATGAGCAAATCCAATTAGTTTAGAGTAATATAAACCACAAAGTGACATGCTTCATCTTAACAGGGAAGGAAACTTTAAGCAAGAAGTCGTTAAAAGTTATGACAACACATGGATACATTAAATTACATACGCATGAGGTTAGTAGATATAATCTGTCCTCACTCCTCTCTTAGTATATGTATAAGAAAAAATGACGACTATTACAGGCACTCACCTTGACTAAGTTTAATCTCTGTCTGGGGAAAAGCCTGAGCTGTGAGCACAGTTAATGCAAAAATTATGAACATGTCCCATGGAAGTGAAGCAGTCACGCAGTGTCTCATTTTCAGGGTTTTTAAGACTGCTTCAGTGAGATGTCAAATCCTCTTGGAGTCAGACTTTGGAAGCCTTTGCTGAGCATAAGTTTCCTAAAGCAGATGTATTCCTTGTCCAGAACACACCCCTCTCCATTTGAGAACTGTCACCCACTTGTGGGATAGGCTTGAGCAAATTCTCCAAGTGTTTCTGTAGCTCCTGAACAGTAAAATATCACATATCCATGGTTTAGTTTAAAAGAAATGACCCTCTGACCCAAACCCATTAGTGAAAAGGAATTTGAACGTAACACAATCACTTTGCCTGGAAATGTGGTCCTATAGTAATTTGCATGAAAAATCCTCTAGCTGTAGGGTAGAAGATATTTGGAATTAGTATGCGTTTGGATCTGCTTAAGATATTTATAGTAGTATTAAACTCTCAAATATTGTTCAATAATGAATACAGATCAAACAAACATTGCCTAGCAAATTATTTATTTCAATTTTTGCCCAAGCACTTGCAGTCATCATGTTTCTTAATATCTGGCTCCAACTCTCCCAGCTCAGCTTCCCTGAACTTCCTGTACAGTACAAGATCACAAGGGACAACAAAGTCTCCAGAAGCTCTCCTCTACTAGCTTGGAGAAAGGAGGTGTTGGGAGAAGGAAGCAGAGAAGAAATTTGCCTTGCCATGCCTGTGTGTTTGTGGAGACACACAACTTACTAGCACACACAAGGGTGGCTCCATAGGACTCTTCAAGGGAAAGAAGACACCATAAAACAGAATATCAGGGCCAATGCTGAGGGGACCAGCTGATTCTGCTGGAAACTAAAACTTTTAAACATCAAGGAGCTGTTAGGGAACCAAGAAGCCAGACAGAAACTTAAAGTTCATGTTTTAAAAAAAAAGGAGTTTATTGAAAACAACAATAAACATAAATTGCAAAAACAATATGTAAAGTCCAGGATGTCGTCAGTACCCAGCCAGAGGTCAGATGCCAAAGTGGGTAGTCAGCCGAATCAGGTCAGCGAACACTGAGAGCAGGATGAGTGGAAACAATAGTCAGAGTTAGGAACCAGATCAGTCAGCCAGAGCCAGGATCATAAACAGAAAACAGGAACAAATGCAGAGCACTTGGTAGATCAGAACACACACAAGGGCGGAGACTAAATGGACAAGCTGAAGCTAAAATAGTGAACTGGTGTTTGCATCATCACTCTGAGAGGAATTTGTCGGGAGTTTTGACAGCTGTTGCAGAATGATGATGTTTGCAAGTTTGGTCATAAGAGGGAGCCAAAGAGAAACCACCGTGTCAAACATATTGCACAATCATCCACGCACAGCCGACTGGAGGAGGAAGGTTAAGAAGCCCTGACAGGAGCAGCATCCATTGTAAGTGATTTAATCAGTATTTGAAATAGATTAAAAACCTTTTGGCTTCATTATCACTTTAAGTTGTAGATTCTTCATATTGGGGCTGAATCTTCAAAACAGGAAAAAGAAGTGAGCACGAAATTGGAAATGCTGCCCATAGCAGTCAGTTGGGTTTTACGTATAATTTTACAGAAAAAGAAAAAATTATTCTAATTGGTTGCTATGGGCAAACATTTTGGGGGTTATTCACTATTGAGCCGAAAGATTAATCCGAAGCTTCGGCTAATCCTTCGGCTCACTTCGGCTGCCGGAGCCCTTCAGTTCAGCCCGATTGGCTTGTACAGCAGCCGAAGCTGGGGTCCCCCCACGGAAAAACACCTTGTCCCCATGCCGATGGGGTCTGCCAGAGATGAACTCCCACCGCAGAATGACATTTTGACAGGTGGCGGAAAAAATTACAACAAATGGGTGGAGTCAGCCGTGATGTCTCGAATTGCTCCGCCCATTTGTTGTCATGCAATCACAGGCCTCTGTTCTCAGGTCATTTGAGGACAGTGGCCTGTCATTGCATGACAACAAATGGTCATTTGAGGACAGTGGCCTGTCATTGTATGACAACAAATGGCGGACCAGTCATGATGTCACGGCTGACTCTGCCCATTTGTTGTCATTTGGCCGACACCTGTCAAAATGTAATTCTGTGGTGGGAGTCCGTCGCGTGTGGTCGGGTCGGCAGGTATTGGGTTTTTTATTTTATTTTGATGAGTCAACATCATTGTGGACATCGCTAGACGACGTAATTGACCCTGGGTTACCTCGCTTGATCATTTTTTTTCATTGTTTTGTTTCTTTTTATTAAGGGAATAGTCAAAAACTCTGTTTTTTTCTACAAGTCTGGTGTGTTTATTTACATTTTTGTTAAACCTTTAGTGAATGAGTAGGGGTACCAGTGCCACTTACTCATTCACAAGGGGGGGCAGCATCTGGGTGCTGCCCCCCCCCCCCCCCTTGAAATTCCTATCAGATCTAAAGGGCCTGGTATGACTTTTGGACAGAATCTCTTTTTTTTGTATTTTTATTTTTAACTGGGGGGTCCCTCCTAACATTCCTAACAGACCTAAAGGGTCTGCTATGGTTTTGGAAGGGGGACCCCATGCAGTTTTGTTTTTTACTTTTGTTTACATTGTTTTTTTATAAATTCCCCTCATTGTGCTTGTCAATTCTATAAATAAAATTATGAGAAAACGATTCCTGATTTGCAGTCTGGTTTGCTCAGCAGTAATTTATTTTTCAAAGCAGCTAATGAGCACATCATCAGCTAAATATTCATAAACAAGAAGAAATGCATCTACAGGAAATCTGTTACTGAAAAAAGTCAGTATCTTGTTAAATAGATTGGGCGGTGTTCCATTGCTACAAATCAGAATCAATGTACTCAAGTGCTATATACTGGATATTGCTTATGAAGACATAAGGTCAGGGGGCTGTATCAGTATTGGTGGGGGTTTTCCTAAATGATGTAGGCATATAATGTCAGTGACCCAGAACGGAGGATATGAGAATATTTTTAATCATTAGCACTTGCATGCTGTCATAGCTAGAAGCATATGTGTTTAGTATAGGGATCATTTACTAGGAAACCAACCTGAAGTGAAAATAATTAACCTGTTTTTACTTTGAAAGGGGTTCAGATTGAGGAGAATTTTTTTCAGGCCATAGATTTTTCATAAACACCTATGGTGTGTCTTTAAAAGCAACAATGTTCTACTGGAATGTTTGACAACATTCTATATGGAATATAACTATCCATTAGTCATCATCACTCCCTATGCAGATACATTAATCATATAGATATAGTGTGATCTCAGATGATAATTAAAGTTTTTTTTTTCTGAATAGCTGTAGTTATCCAATGTGATGTCAGAACATAATTAAAGTTGTTTTTTTCCCGAATATCTGCAGTTATGACAGTTGTGCTCACCACCAGCTGATTGCACCCAGAAGTGGTCAAGAAGGAAATTTGTTCATCTCTGTAGTGACAGCTCACATCAACACTCATTAACATGTCTGAAACACTCCACCCCCACTTTTCATCACAGACAAATATAGAAGACAATGTTGTCAGCATGATAACGATGTTACTTAGTATTATTTAGAAATAAAAAAGGGAAGGAGCAAAACTGCATACGAAGGGGTCCAGTAGCAAAATTATTATAGCTTCACTAGTGTATTTTTAGCAAGGGAATATTTAGAATTATTATTGCAGTGTTTCATTTTTGATGTTACTTTCACATTTTTGCAAACCTATTGAATAAATAAAGAGGTTTTTAGATTGGCCATTAGTAGGAGTTCTTAGTGGCTCAATACAATTACTATGTCTCTCTCTATACAACTGTTGAAATAAGATATAAGCCATGCAGGGTGCGTTGCTTTTAATTAGTCAGCAAGATCACATGCTTGCTTTGTAAAAGAGGAGAACTTAAACCATTGTGTAGCACTGCAATAAGCAAAACCTACACATGTAATGACCAAATATGGCAGTCCCTATGTACACATATAACAAATTATGCATACAAACAAGTGTTTTAAAACACTGACATATATTGATAATAATATTTATCTCAAGTTGATCTCATTAACAATTTAATCTATTTCAATATCCTGAGTCCCATAGAATCTACTGATTCTATGTGTTGACCTCCATGCATGTTACCAAGTGGAAGGCCAGCTCTCCCTTCTGTCTGGGAATGGGACCCCATGTCACTGGTTTCAAAGTACTGCCCAGCAGTGTTGAGCCAAAAACTCACCTAAACACTGGCTCAGTCTCTATAGGCGAGTTGCATTCCCCAGGACAACCTTCACAGTCTATAGGCTAGCTTCAACTGACTCCTTCTACACATATCTGTGGCACACCAGCTGCTGATAAGCCTGAAGTACTTCCATCACTACTTAATACAACTTTTTAGCTTTAGGGATTGTAGTCAACATACATGATTTTTCTCATTAAGCTCTAATGAAGGGGGCGTGTTTTGGACCCCGAAATGCATTGGCAACTCTGCTTGAATGTTTCCTGATCATAATGAAAAATTTTGTATCTGGACTATTTTAACTGGTGCGACTCTTCAATTTCTACATCTACTGCATTCACTGTTGAGCCAAGGATACTGTGGAGATCCTTTGGTTTGTGGAAGCTGCCTTCCCGTTTGCCAGGTCACACATGTTCACATTACTTTCCCACTATTGGATGACACACACCAACAGAATAACCTCACAGGTCCAGTGCTTTTTTCCCCACTTACAAATATCAGCTCCCCCTTCTGTCTGGGAATGGGATGCCATGTCGGTGATTGCAAGGTACTTCCCTGTAGTATTTGATCAAAGGTCCCCAATTATAACTACACAAACTCACCTGAACACAGACTCAGTCTCTTGAGGAGAGCTCCATCCCCCAGAACAACCTCCGCAGTCCACGGGCTAGCTTCAACTGACTCCCTCTACACACATCTTGGGGATCCCTTGTCCTATTATCCCAGGCAAAGCCTATGAGTGTGATCTTCACCACTCATTGTACCCCTTGCAGGGACAGAGCAGATACCATGCTCCCCAGCCCTTGCTGCACGAACAGTCCCCATACTGGTGCTGAACATTTCTT